GGAGAGGCCTCCACTTGGCTCGCACTCCACTTGTTCTCTGCTCTGCTAAAGTAGCCGCATACTCTTAAAAGAAGACTTAAGGACAGGGCAGCAGGGAGAGGTGGCTGTAACAAGAAATGGGGTGAAAACTAGAGAAAAGATGACCTCAAAACCATCAGGGATGCCTTCTGGCTAAATGTTTCTTAGGTCACATATATTATTTTCTTTTATTTTACGTACTAGTAGAGCCCATGCCTTAGGAGCTCATAGGTGTGGTCAAAACATGCTGGTTTTCTTTTCCTGGTCGGGGTGTAGAAAGTAACCACACTGGGATGTTGGGTAGCAGCCATGTTAATTGGCAGGTGCCTCCCACCCCCCCAGAGGTGCAAATCAGAGACTTTTTCAAGTGCTACTGGTTCTCACTGAAGGTAAACCAACGGTCCCAAGAATCAATGGGAAAGTGTTGGCTTATGTTCAGAATTCAGCAAGGCACCAAATGGATTATCCAAACCACTTTGTTCCCTGAATTCCTTTTTAAACTTGGTTTACAGAGATGCACTTAAAGAAATCTAGGCGTTCAACATACACACACACACACATACATATCATTTAATAATTACATCAGTCAATGCCATCCTTACCTCTTAAAAAACAAAAAACTAGGGACGCCTTGAACACACTTCTGGTTTTCTTTTGGATGGGAAAGCAACCCTATTAGCGTTTTTCTTTTTTAACAAAAATGTATACCATCTGTGACAGCCAGCTTTTAAAACAGATGTTATGACGTGTTATCATCACATTTTGATGATCTGGGTGTCTTATGCTTATCTGGGTGTGTACCATACACTGATGATCTACTGAGTCTTCTCAGTATGATGGACACCTTACTGTCAAGTTATGGCCTCGAACTAGGACGTGAGAGTCAATGGCGCTCAGAACTTGAACCTGGCCCATTGAACAGAGACCCATTTGTTACTTTCGATGTCACTTTCACTGTAACATCTGTCCTGGGTGCCGTGCGGGCATTGGAGCCAGCAGGGAGGGCTGGTGGACTTTCGTGTTTACCTGCAAGCCTGTTATGGACTTTATTTTCCTGAAGGAGAAACCGGGGTATCTAAGGATTATTGATTTGCCTATCGTGATTCAGTGAGTCGGCGGGGAGTAGGGAATAAAACCAATTTCCTGGCATCATTTCCCATGCACACAACCCCTTACCTTGCAGCGCCTAGACTAGATGCCAAGAATCCATCTCAGAGAATTTGATCAGAAAACATATGAAGGGTGATTCTGAAACCACAGAAGCATTGAGAAAGTCATAAAGATGTATAATATATGATAGCATTTACCAGCTATAAATAGGAAGATGCGGGGAGAAAAATAGAGACCTTGTAAATCCATTGGGTCAGGAGAAATAGAAACTGCTTAATATTTCATTAAAAATGGATTTTCATAAATTGCACTTGGATATCTTTGGGTGAAAGACGATATGGAAGGACTAAGGTGTTGTTATTCATTACTTTTCATTATTAATAATTTGAACTGTTATTGAGCGAAAACATCAACAAGGTATACCCTCCCTCTGAGCGAGGCACTCACCGTGTGTTTTGGGCACTATGTGAAGGGTATTAAAACCCACAGCACTCATCCACCGAAGCACACGGGCTGTAAGGGACAATGGACAACTAAAATGCCTTGTTAGAGAGTGGACGCTTGCTGGGGCAGTTGTAGGTGGAAACTCTTACGCAGAAAGCCTTAGAGTCTAGGAGCCAGGAAAGGCCTTCCAAATCAACTCATTCAATAGAGAAGGAAGTTGAGGCCTGGGGGAGGTAGAGATAATTGCCTCCTCTGTGTGTCCTGGCTCCTGCTTCAGAGGCGTTTTGGGGATTATTTTCCCCACTCCGCCACACCCAGAGTGTGAGGCGTATCCCGAGTTTAATCACATAAGGTGGTATTCCTTCAGCAAAGGGTCGAGAGAGCAGGGGCAGATCTGAGCACAAGGTCAAGGGCAAACAGGAAACCAAGAAGAAGCTATGCTCAGAAACTCAAAGGATAATTTGAGGCCACATTGAATGAGGCTTCATGTGGTTCCAGGCAGGGGCAGGAGCAGAGTGAGCAAAACAGAATTAGAATGGAGCTGAGTCGGAGCAGCCCGCTAGGTGGCCTCCGCAGAGAAACCATGTGCCCGTCCCCCCTCCAACGGGTGCCACCGGAGGCAGAGACCCAGGGGGTTCACCCAGAGTCTGGGACCTCATGCGTCTGTGGGAAGACCAACCCCCTTGCCAGACCGGCTCACTCGCGTGTGGCGTGGCCATGCCCACGTGCAGCCACCCTCACGCACATACCAACCGCCCAAAGGCAATCCAACGACACAGTCATTTCCTTCCTGAGCGGGAGGGAGGAAAAGGTTTCTCACTGTTGTCTGCCAAGGCTGAGAAATGAAGGGGTCAGATAAGATAAAATTGGATATTAAAAACACATAAGACGTGCTGTGTTTCTAAACGGTAACAGCGTGGTGTGTATGTTGTGGATTAGCAGCTGTGTTAAAGTTCAAATCCACTCAACGCTCTAGTTCTGTATTCACATGACAAACCAAGCTCCCCTCCCCATATGAATTCCTCAGCATCTCCGGATGGAAGCCACACACAGTAACCGTCACCATCCCCATCCTCAGGGAGCGGGCTGGTGGTGGCCCCTCACTGCTCCCAGAACCCTCACCAAATAAGCAAAGTGCTGCATTTGCTTCTGCCCTGCCAAAGCAAAACAAAAAAAAAACAAACAAACGGGAGCCTCTGCCTCGTGCTGAATTCTAGGAGAACTGATTAATCTCATTCTCTTGGATCCAGTTCCTCCATTCCTTTCTCAGAGCTACAGAGTCCTTTAGAAGCACCCAAGAAGCCATGGACTGGGCATGGCCAGGCCAGAGCTGTCCTGTGCCCTGTCTCCTTTTCTGGTCATCCCTCTCCAAGATTAAGATTACAGAGGCTTGAGTACCTCTCTCCCCTTCTCTCCCTCTGCCTTTCTGCAGGTGTCTGACCTTAAGCCTCTTTCCTCCTGTCTCCCTGGTCATTCTTCCCTTGTTTTGTTTTCTGGCCCCTCTTTGTCCCCAGTCACTGTAAAGGAAGCAGCCAAATCAAACCTGGGAGAGACGGGTGGTCAAGCAGTTCTGCCTCTTGCTCCCTGTGGGTTAGCAAGGCAGCAATGGAAGGAACTTGGCCTTAGGACTGGGCAGGAGGCTCCCCAGGGAGGAACGGGAAGCAGCAAGCTGGGCAGGCTATGAGGGAAGCTCCCCTGGGTCGGCCAGCTCAGCACCAGGAGCAAGGGGTTTAAACTGAATATGGTGGGCCAGTGATCTCCCATCTGTCTTAAGCGAGCCACTTCCCCTCGTCTGGTTGCATAAGGTGTAACGTCTCTTACCCTTCACCCCCACCACTCGTGCTGTGCTATTAAATGGCTCTAACTTTTGACCTCAGCAAGTGGGAAATATGGAGAGTTCAAGGTTGCCAAATGGCAGAGCTCCTAGCTACAGTTCGTGGGAAAGAAAGGACCACGTTGTTAATTAGCTCTAAGCCACCGTGCAGCCCACTGCTGTTACCCAGAGCTTTCTGAGTCGGGATTATAAACACACATCCTTGAACAGCAACTCCACCTCCATTCAGCCCATGCTTGGAGACCTTAAAGGCTCCAAGACTCCTAGCCAACAACATAAACGCTGCAAATATGTTAAAAAGAGATGACAGGCAGTGTAGGAAGCCACAAGCCTACAGCCTAAAACCATGGCAGGGGCTTTCGATCCGGACAGACCTCTCTGAGCCTCCGTGTTCTTGTCAATAAAGCAGAAATAATAACGCTTACCTCCTGGGGCATTCTAGATGTAATTGTTTTTACACCGTGTCTGGCTCAGGGGTATCCAGGCATACCAGTTTCCCTCGTCGTCTTGTTCCAGCCCTGTCAGTGCCCAAATAACTGGCATGTTATAGGTATCATGAGCTGAAGTATTTAGTCCCTCGACCCAGAAGAAATTGCTAGTTGTTGTAGAGCTGGCTGTGAGTAGATTTGCAAAGTCTCTTGGTTGTTAAAGCTATGACAGGTATGATTTAGAAGGGATGGTCGGTTGGTCTTTCCCCCCACCCTTAGCCAGAGAAACCAAGAGAAACTCACATATACTTGCGCCAGCTACTTTTGTTTTAATGGAGAGCACGGAAAAACATAAGGTCCATATGGCAGTTATTGATTTGGGCCATCTGGTAAACTAGGACTTACTCCTACCATGTTGGCTTGGAAGCTACTCCAAAAAGCCTTTCCTCCCCTAAGACATGCATTGGTCAGATGGGGACAGAGATGGATTTCATTATAGGGCGGGGATTACAGTGAGAGGAAGCCAGAGCGGGACTCTGAGAGACTGTCTGCAACCCTGACCCTACAACAAAGACCAGAGAGAACCAAGAAAGTGTTGATTGACACAGGGCCATTAGGGGTAGATGGCGGCCCCCAAGCTCTCACCCGGTCATGGAGCAGGGAGGCCTCAAAGTAACTAACAAAACAACTGTTGAAGCACTTTATAAAAATACCCTGCGAATATTCCTATCTGCCTGCACCATGACGGAGGGGGAGAATCAAGTTCAAGCTAGTGAGCGAGGTCTGCCAAGCCCTAAAAGATGACCTTTCTGCTCCATTTTTAAAGAATATTCCCCCTTTTTTGCCCCTCTCCCTCTCTCTGCTTCTCAAAGTGTTTTCCTTGTCAAGGCGCCTTCCTCTGCTTGCTCTCGGCCAGAGGCAAAATTTTCCTTTCCTCTAAAAGTTTTCGTGAAGACCGTTGATTGTTCTCGAGTTAGAGCAGTGTGGGAAATTAAATTTCTTTTTCACGGTGCTTCTATCGAAGCCCCAAACAACAAACGCACTGATTATTTTTAAACTGGAGGGAAATGATTTTCGACAGAACTTTTGCACCGCCTTCAAAGGCCGTGTGAGTGGCCAAGCTACACACGGGGACGTCAAGGGTGGTTTCCCGTCTTCCGCTCCAGGTGTTCCAAGCCAACAACGATGCCACCGAGGTGGTTCTGAACAAGCTGCACACACCGCTGCTGACCAGGTTCGTCAGGGTCCGGCCCCAGACCTGGCACTCCGGCATCGCCCTGCGGCTTGAGCTCTTCGGCTGCCGGGTCACAGGTGAGGGGGAGCCCCGCTAAAGGCTGGGAAGCTGCTCGTGCCCCGGGCTCTGCTCCCACCTTCCAGCCCTCTGCAAATGGCATGATTGCACCGCGTGACCTTCCCTGAAGGTCCGCTTTTACCCAGAACTCTGTTTATGCGCATCTAATGCTCCCTGACAGCAGACCCTGTCTTGCCGTAGCCATTTACCCGTGTCTTCGCCACTCGGCCATTGGCTGCACAAGTATTTCTTGAAGGCCTGCTGTGCGCCAGGCCCCACACTGGGAATGAAAGTGGACAGGAGACGTGAACGAGCAGATGGGGTCTCTAACGTCATGAAACCTTTTCAGGCTGGTGGCAACATAGATAATAACGTAATCAAGCACCGGATAGTTATCAGTTAGGACGCGTGTCTGAAGGAAAAAGATCAGGTGCTTGAGAAACAGTGGCTGAGGGGACCTAACTGACTGTTGATTGGAAGCTTGGGGCTGGGCTTTCTGAGGACATGGTAGTAAAGCCTGGGGATGAGTAAAGGCTACTCTGATGATGACCGAGGGGAACAGCATTTGGAGTGGCAGGAACAGCATGTGCAAAGGATGCAAGGTAGTAAAGAACTGTGATAACGAGTGGAAGCAAAGACCTGACCCCAGGTATGTCTCCATCCGGTTGGGAAAACAGTCACCCAGGAAGCGGTTCAGGGCTCAGCTGAGCTCCCCTGCGCCCACCGCCCTGGGAGGCTCAGTGGGGACTGGTGTCATTGGCAAGGATATGAGAACCTTGGCTAAGTGTGAGATGCTTAGGTCTGCCAGGCGCTGTGCCATGAGCATTTGTGTAGTAACTGGTGGAATCCCCGTAACAACCCCCGAAAGGTAAGTTCTGCCACTAGCCTTCCTTTAGACTTAGATAAACTGAGGCAGAGAGCAGTTCAATCATTTGCCCAAGGTCAGACAGCTAGTGAGCAACAAAACACACTGGGACCCAGGCAATCTGGCTCCTAGTTTGGGCTCTTAACCATAATGCGAAGAAATCGGTGCCTACTTACAGCATTTGATAGTTGGGTTCTTCTGTAGTTCCCTGTTGATGGGAGGTGGTACCCGGTAGGCAGGGTGCCAGCTGCGAGCTCTTGCATCCCCCTCCCCTCCACAGATGCCCCCTGCTCCAACATGCTGGGGCTGCTCTCGGGCCTCATCCCCGACTCTCAGATCTCGGCCTCCTCCACCCGCGAGTACCTCTGGAGCCCCAGCGCCGCCCGCCTGGTCAGCAGCCGCTCGGGTTGGTTCCCCCGGATCCCTCAGGCCCAGCCAGGCGAGGAGTGGCTTCAGGTGGACCTGGGCGTACCCAAGACAGTGAAGGGCATCATCATCCAGGGGGCTCGCGGAGGAGACAGCATCACTGCCGTGGAAGCCAGGGCGTTTGTGCGCAAGTTCAAAGTCTCCTACAGCCTAAATGGCAGAGACTGGGAATACATCCAGGACCCCAGGACCCAGCAGCCGAAGGTAAGTCATTTCTGGAAGATTCCCTAACTTTACCCCAGACAGGGAAGTTAAGTTGGGAGGTGCTGCCTTCCCAGCTAGACAGTCCTCACCAAACCCCTGTATTCTAATAAAACAGGCATTAATTGATCGGTTACTTTGTGCCCGCCACTCAGCTAAATGCCATATTTAATTCTTACAGCATCTCTGGAAGGGCGATGGTTTTGTCACTGCCATGTTAGAGGTGACAAAACTGAGGCTGATGACCTGGGGTCATACGTGTGGAGAGCCACAGTTCAGCCACGGCCTGACTCCAGAGCACAGACACCTACCCATCACTCAGCACTGCCTTTCTGTAAAGTTTGACACCCTTTACACCCTCTTTCAGATGAAGTTTCCTTGGAACTGGCCAGACATCCAAATGGGATGTAGTTTTTGGAGGCTAGACTATAGAAACTAGGGGATTACTTCCAAAAACAACTGTTTTTTTGGATGTCTCTGCCCTCTTTATTTTCCCAGTCTTGAATCTGCTTAGATCTTTCCCACCTCTCACACTGAGGCTGGGGAGAGGCAGGAGAAACTTACCCAGGCCAGCGCAGCCCACCCCAGGGAGAAAGGTGCAGAGGAGCCCCAGCAAGGGGAAAAGAAACCGTGTCTTTGTCCCTCACCAGGTCCATCTTGGGGGTTCTCAGGCATTCTGATCCTAACTGTTAAGTTACCCTCATTTTCCTCAGAAGAGCAGGCCCCTACCAAAGAAGGGGAATTACACGTCTCTGTTTGATCCTTTTTGCTCAGCAAATGTTTCCATTCTTAATGCAGAGGCACGGGCTGGTTTGGAGGCTTTACGGTGCCGGCGTAAACACCCAGCTCACAATTTAGAAGCCTGGAGAGGCTCAGGAGTTGGTAACTAGGATCTTTAGTGGGTACAGCGCCCCATGGGTTTTCCCGGGGGGCGCTGACCCTGGCTCTGCTTGACCATTCCGGTAGCCTGGGAAAGGAGGTGATCTTAGCCAGGGTCGGGGCCTGGGCCTCGCCATGACAGCGCCCCCTTCTGGAATGTGGGCATCCTGCAAGTGAGGTGGCCGCACTACCTCCCTAGGTGCTAACCAGCCACAGCCCCTAGCACGTCTCCACACCGTCATCGCCCAGGTCGGTGGCTTCCACATGTGCTCTAGTTTGAGCCTTTGACCAGGACAGCCACACTGTCCTCGGCGCATGTAGCGGGGCTCCAGGTGACTTTGTTGTGACAGAATTGCCTCTGCTAAACAAAACTGAGGAGCATAGTCTCAGACTATCAAATATGTGGCGAGAGGGTGCTGTCATGAGCCTAGAGAAGAGGACGGCCACTCCACCTTCACCCTGTCCGTGACCTGAGAGCTAGCAATGAGCGAGGACTATCTACATCTAGACTTTCAAGCATTAACAACAAGAGCCTCTAAGACAATGGGCAAAGCAGCCAAAAGCTCACTTCTCCGCTCTCCAGCCAAGTCCAGCTTAGGGCTCATTCAGAGCCTAATTCTTTCCCGAGTCCTCAGTCTCTCATCACAGGATAGAAGACAGAACCTGGCAATTGCCACTTGCATTTGCTCCCTCCTTCCCATGTTTCTGGGACCCTAGGCATCTTCCAAATGAACCACAACCTTGGTCTGAGAATGGAGCTCCTGTGGGTTGTAACGTCCAGCGAGTTGACTATGAGGCTGCCTTCTGGATGGATGTGAAGGGCAGGGAGGAGAAAGGGAAGACGAGGAGGAGAGGGGAGGGCATCCCACAGAACAAGGGCTCAATGGCCTGTCTCTCCTGCAGCTCTTTGAAGGGAACATGCACTACGACACCCCGGACATCCGAAGATTCGACCCCGTTCCTGCCCAGTACGTGCGCGTGTACCCCGAGCGGTGGTCCCCAGCAGGGATTGGGATGCGGCTGGAGGTGCTGGGCTGCGATTGGACAGGTAAGGCCCATTCTCCACTCCCGGTCTCACTCACGTGGTCTCGTGACACCCAGGGAGGGGGTCAGACCATGAGGTGGATGTGTGGAGGGGGCAGCCTTCCCTGCTGACAGCTGGAAACCCGGCCCACCCCAGGCCCTGCTGTGTTCTTCTGCCTCCGACCATGGGCATTGCAGCCTCTGGACTCAGGACAGTTCCTCAAGGGATGTGCTTTGTCTTTTTTTAAAGACTCATTCCGGCTCCCCAGCCCAAGTCTCTCAAAAACAAATCATAACCGCACACCACCCACCCAAATTCAATTAGACCCTGACTCTTCAGGCCAGAAGGCTGTGGCTGTTGATTTAGGGAAGGGAAAAAACCCCCTCATGATAATAAAGTAATCGGTTTATGTCTGAATCTGGCCTCCAGATGTCAGGGGCTGAGAGACTTCATTTTCATTTTGAAGCCACATCTGTAAAAGGCATTTATTTGCTCAGAAGGGACCCTGTTGCAGGGAAGTCGACAGAACAGGACTTCTTCCCCGTGAGCAGCAGGAGGCTTGCTCATTCCTGCCCGCCCCTCGTCAGCAGCCCAGACTGGGGCCGGGGGGGGGGGGGTGTCCTCGAATTCTCCTTAATGTAGATCAGGCCCACTGAGCATGCCCACTCTTCTTGTTTCTGGAAAGCACCCCTCTCTTCTGAGTCAGGCCCCACCCTTCCCGCGGGCACCTCCTTTAGCAGAGCTGGCACCAGACCTCACCTGGAGCTGGCCCCCTGCCCTCCAGAAGGAGCTCAGGGGACCCCCCCGAACCCAGTGCCAGCAGGAGCAGCAGACAGGCCGAGCCTCCCTCCCCCTCCCCCGGGATCCCAGGTATCTCCATTTGCCTGTTGGTACCATACCTGTCACGGGCTCACCCAGCAGGGCGGCGGGAAGGATTAATAAGGGCATGTCAGAGAAGTGCTGCTGGCTCCCAGGGAGAAAAGTGCTGCCCGTGTGTCCGCCACGATGGCAGGAGGAGGGGCCCCATGGAGGCACGCAGGCTGGGAGTCGGGCCCAAACGAGCCTCTCCCTCCTTTGGATTGAAGGCAGCCCCCAGTGAACACGTTTTAGTGGGAAGACGCTTTATTCCCCGTCACGCAGGGGAAAGGCCAATTTCCCTGCAGCCCCTGCACGTCGCCTGTCCACGTGCAGGTGCTAAAAACTGCCATCCAGCCGCGCTACAGGCTGGCTTCATTTACAGCCTCTTCGAAATCAAAGGGTTAGAGCTGCAGGGGCCCCAGGAGCTTCTAGGCCAGTGGCTTTTAAATATTTTCGACCATGATGGACAGTTTAAAATTTATATCACAGTCCACTTGACTTGCAGGCACACATACAGACACACAGTGTGTGCATATGGGCTGTCGTGTATTGGTAAGTGCCTGGACCCTGGCACAGATTGCCGAATACAAGCCCTGTCTCTGCCAGTCGCTGGCTGTGTGACCACAGACAAGTCACTGAGCCTCTCAGCATCTTGGTAATCTCAGCTGAAAAATGGGAATCATAAGAGTATATCTACCCAACCCCCCAGGGTTGTTATGAGGATTCAGTAAAATTATGGATGTAAAGTACTTAGACTGCTGCCTGGCACCTAATAAACCTGTTATAATAAGTAAATACAACGGAACGAAAAGTTCCCAGATCAGTGCCCATTTTCCCCACATGAGCGCACTCTGAAATATAGTTCACGTTCAAAAATTGCCAGTCATGACCCGTCACATTGATTCCACAACTTACTAACGAGTGTGGCACACACTTTGAATAAAAAAAAAAAAAAATCAGAGATCTAGGCCAACATCTCTTTTTTAAAAAAATTTTTTTAATGTTTGTTTATTTTTGGGAGACAGAGAGACAGAGTGCAAGTAGGGGAGGGGCAGAGAGAGAGGGAAACACAGAAGTGAAGCAGGCTCCAGGCCCTGAGCTGTCAGCACAGAGCCTGATGCAGGGCTCGAACCCACGAAGCGCAAGATCATGACCTGGGCTGAAGTTGGACGCTTAACCAACTGAGCCAGCCAGGCGCCCTGAGGTCAACATCTCTTTGGAGATGGGGAAACTGAGTCCCAGAGAGAGGAAGCTACTTGCCAGAGCTTGCTTAGCTAGCTGGAGGCCAACTCCTGCTTCCCTTCTTTGCTCTGGCGTTCTGTGCCCTTCCTCTCCCAGGCTGGCCCTACTTTATAACTGGCAGGACAGTTGCTAATGTCCTTTTCCTCTTATTACCCCCCTACCCCAGCCTGGCCCAAATTGCCCTGGCGATGGTCAGCAACAGGTTTCTCATTTCAAAGTCCTGCCTGGCCATTCCTTGGAAGATCAGAGTTGGGGCTTCTTACCCTCCACCCAGCCTCCTTCCCTTTGAAGTCTCTGGACATCTGGTTTCAATTGCAGGGGAGCGTTGCAGTTTGATGGGCAGTTACCTCTGGGCTCCCAGTAAAAGGCAGCGGACACGGCCCCGCCTTCTCCCTTTTCCTTCACACGCCATGCCCTCTCGCCTCATCAGCCCCCTGTGCCCCTGGATTTGACATTATCCTTACCAGCCAGCTTCCTAACATCCCCCAGTTTCTGTTCTCCTAGGCCATGTGGCTTTTTTTGCTTTTCCAATTCCCATTCCTTTCGGCGACTCATCCTTGGCTCACTTCTTTCCTACCCTGAAAAGGATAGCAAGATAGATAATAGGGCTGGCCTGAGTCACTGCAGCTAAATAATTTGACAGGGCGGCTTCACCTGTTAGTTTGTTTGTGTTTCAAATGATTACTTCTTGCTTTGCTGCCCATAGTTTGCTTTACAACCGAGTTTTGAGATTTTGTGACACAGCGACAAATTTGAACTTACAAATTAGGACGCTTCGAGGTTATTTTCTATTTACTGTGAGCAAGAGGCAGATATGGCAAAGGGAAGTATGAAAGGTTATGTGCGTAGTATTTAATAGCAGAAAGATGGGAAGTCGACCGTGAAAAAGCTATTCAGCGTATTTAGCGATTTCCTTCAGCTCCTGGCTTTATTAAATGGTATCCTGAAGTGTGCCTGACAAAGGCGCCTAATCACGTACAATAGTGCAAAGGAACATGTCTAGAAATCGGAGGAACAATGCACCAGCTTATTCGGGGAGTCGCGTTGGAGGGCAGCTCTGGGAGGAAGACCCCACCCCGCAACACACGGACTTGAGCGCCAGTTACCAGAACCCGTCCTCGCCCCGCCCAGGGCCTGACTCATTGTTTGGTTCATTTCATAAAAAAAAGTTGCTGAATGAATGACTGGCAGGAGCAAATAGATAAGTGAATGGAAGGGTGAGTGAATCACCTAGAGCCTGGGACAGAACGGACTGCCTGCAGCCAGGTTTGGCCCGGCCAAGCTCTGTTGCGTGCTCCTTGTTATAATACTTTGAATAAGTTGCCAACATTGACAAGTCTAGAGAACTTCCATGGGGAGTTTTGGCTTCATGTTGGAGAAAAAATTCTTTTGCAAGATCTGGCCACATTGGGCCACCTCCCCTCAGGCCTTCAGTGTGCCGGAGCCAGTCCTGTGGCCGCCCTTAAATCGGGCGTGCGAGATGCCCTCTGCCACCTTCCATCCCACGCTTCACTCTCCCCGCCCCCACTCAGCCGTCTACAGTAGCTGTTTGTGTCCAGGAAGCGTTTGAATTTGCCACACCCTGACCTGACCTAAAGGCACATCCTAATTATTTCCACGATGTGGAGCATGAGTCCCTTTGAGTCCATATTCCTTCCCATTCAGTTTTGTGCAAACACGAACAACAATGTCTGGAGTTACACCTCCCCAGCTGTCTGGCTTGGCCCTTGGCTTTGGCTATTGTGCTTCTGATTATCTTGCTGTAGGTGGGCCCCCGAGGTCAGTTAGCTTGGGTTCAAAAAAGTTCTGGCTGAGTCAGAGAAGACTGAAAGGAGAATGTCTCTTCCACATAAAAGAAGGGGTGAGCCGGGCAGGGAGGCACGTCAGCAGTCGCCCGAGGGGCCAGTGCACAGGAAGCTCGGTTCGTGAAACACCGAGATTTTCTCAAACTATTTTAGAGGGACACCATCCATTGTGTGTGTGTATGTGTATTAGATCACCCAGACCACGGATTACCCCGCCGTGGGGTCAGTGTCCCCCACATCCGTTATGGTCCCACGTGGCCTTTTGTGCTGGCCCCAGGACCTCTGCTGTGGAGTAAGGAGCACAGGATTGTGTCCGTGCCTCTGTCGCGGCCGTTTCTGCAGCTTGGGACCATTCTCGTTCAACTCAGACAACGCCCCTGACTTCTTGATAGCACACAGAGATGACTCCAGAGGGGTGCGTGTGTGTGTGTGTGTGTGTGTGTGTGTGTGTGTGTGTCCATCGTCAGTTGTTATCCTTTCCCTCCTCTATAGGCCCACACTTAGGGGTACCTGGGTGGCTTAGTCAGTTAGGCATCCAACTCTTGATTTTGGCTCAGGTCATGGTCCCAGTGTCTTGAGGTAGAGCCCCACATTGGGCTCTTCGCTGGGTGTGGAGCCTGCTTAAGGTTCTCTCTCTCTGTCTCTCTGTCTCTCTCTGTCTCTCTCTCTCCCCCTCTGCTCTTCTCCAGCTTGTTCACATGTGCTCTCTCTCTCTCTCTCTCTCTCTCAAAAAATAAAAATAAATAATTTAAAAGGACACTTAGTTTGGGGCACCTTCCCCCTGCTGGGCTTCAATGCAAGCTACCATATACAGCGTTCATTCCCCTCTCTTTGTCGTTATGCAGACTCAAAGCCCACAGCAGAGACCCTGGGACCCACTGTGAAGAGTGAAGAGACCACCACCCCCTATCCCATCGATGAGGAGGCCACGGAGTGTGGGGAGAACTGTAGCTTCGAGGACGGTGAGAACTGGGGCCAGAGTCATGGTTCATCCCGGAAGGCACAGTGCTGACAATCAGAGGCAGCTGGTCTGTGGCTGGGGTAGGGACTTGGCTGTCCCCTGGCCAGAAGTCAGGGAGGTGTGTGAGGTCAGAGGCTTGGGACAGTGACCGTTCACAATCAATCTAGAATCACTCAGATACGAGAATGAGCAGTACAGCCAACAGGCGAACCCGCTAGTCATCAGCTGAAGATAAGAGTCCATCGAGGGAGGACCCCCCCTTTGAGAAGGCTCCCTTTCCAGCCCTCGCTTGGCATCATTAGAATTCTCAGCCTTTTTCTACTCAGCTATGTCTCCACCATCCAGTCAGGTGAAGATCTGGCAGTCATCTGGGTGACTTGGTCCACGGAGCACGGTGGTCAGGTTAACAGAGCAGTTAGCCACTCCTTGACTGAATCTCACTGTGCCTTTGCACACTGCTGCTTGAGAAAGTGTAATATCAAGGCTCCATAAAATGGCACATCCCATCCTCCATGGGGTGAGTCGGAGTGACAAAGACAGGAAGCTTCAGAGGCACCTCAACCCTTCCTTCAGATCACAGGGCCCCCTAGTTCTGGATCAGCCTCTTCCCCTGGGCACCCTGTGTCACCTGCTTTTTCATCCTCTAACCACATCCAAGGGAGATAAGAACACTAATTGGCAGAGCCCAAAAGAACATCACCTTACCGAATATGAGGACGTTCCCAACAAACCGCAAACTGGAACACCTGGCATTTCTGGCTAGAATTTAATGCTTGCCAGCATCCACTTGTGGTAAATTGTGGATCATTATTAAACCTTCGTTAAGTGAAATGAGGGAAGACTGGTGGAGAGACCTGGGAAGTGGCGGAGACACACAACATAGCCCTGGCCCGGTAGGTAGATGGCACAAAGTACCGAGGCCGTGCCAGCGGAGTGGATGGCTCCAAACGATGCCTACAAAGGAGAATGGGAGGGAAGCCAAAACTCAAGGCTGAAGTTGTGTGACTGAAAAATGATAATTTAATGCATATGATTTTAGGAATGTGCTTTTGTATATTGTGTGGGTGGGGGGACACTCTTGGTCAGGGCTACTTGAATACAGGATTCTGACATTTTAATGAACTTGTTTTTGTTGTGTAAAGAGGAGAAAGAGACTCGGAGAATCTTCCAAGACGTGTTTCAGATAGTTTGGGAGCTCACAGTGGAATGCACGGGGAGCTCATGTACGGTATGGGATTAGCAGAATTGGCTTTGGTGGAGGACAGGCTCTATCTAAATGGCAGTCCAAAGGGGAATGTCAGAGTCCTGCCGCAGACTTTCAGAAGTTGCACATCATTTTCCCGTTTATGGTGGTTTGTTTCATGTTAGCTTTCTTTGGTGGTTCCTCCCTTTTCTTTTTTTCTTTCTATTTTTTTGCAAAAGGTCTTTTTGTGGAATTTGGTTCCTGAGATACAGTATGCGTGTAAACATTAGAGAAGAATTATGGTATATTGAATTACCCCATATTTTTTAACGGAAAAATAGAAATTCAGAAATTGTCGGGGGGGGGGGGGGCGAGGGCTAAGGGCTGGCTTTTCCAAGCCACAGGTTGATGCTTCTGTAATAGATCCCATGTGTTTCTCCTCAAGCCAAGCTGACTTTGGCCCAGGGCAGGCAGACGTGAAGTAGTGCCTCAGGAAGCGGAGGCACAACTAGAGCCTGGTGGCGGTGTGCCTCCACGCCCGGCGGTGCCCTTCCCCTAAGAGGTGCCCTTCCTCACCCCCGTGGCGCGAGCAATTTGTTTCCACCAGTCTGTTGTACCCTTTAGACTTCCTAAGCTGCATTCGAGGCCTTCCCCACGGAAATTCCTCTCTGGGAACCCTGAGAAGGGAAGTGAGAAGGCCAAAGACCCCACTTCCTCCCTGCTACTAGCGTTAGCCAGCACTTTTCCGCTGTCTCTGTAGCCGCTGTCGGCAGGCATCCAAATTTGGATTCCCATTTCCTCTCTCCCCCACCTCCACCCCCGCCCCCACTTAATCACGTATCTGGCACCAGCTTACACTGGGTTTTCAGAGCTGAGTGGTGCTTAGGTGAACGGGGAAGCAGACGGGACAGGCCAAGGCACGGTCACTTGGGACACTTCCACGAGGAAAGCATTCTCTACTGCCCCTGGGATCTTGGCCTGCAGGCTCTCGGTGCCGTGCGGAATTATGTTTTCTTCTGGTCAGCGCCGAGCCAGGCGGCCGGCTGGTCTGGCCCCCTCGTCCTGCCCTGACTCGCCAAATCACCTACCTGGCAGTACCACCCCACGGGGATGCCGAGCTGACCCTGTGTTTCTGGAACAAAAGACCCATCACAGGAGGTGAAAGGGAACAAACAAGACTTCCTTGTTTCTAAGCTCACTTTCTCCTCCCTGGCCAGCACCTCCCCAGCATGTCGGCCCCTCTGGATGCTAATGGGCTGCCCCATCCCTTCTGAGAGCCAGGTTGGCAGGAACCAGCCTTCCACTGAGGCACCGGGGAGACATTCTTCATGGGCACTTAGGGAACAGCAATTTTCACATGCGTCTGCTCTCTGAGGTGGACAGAAGAGCCTGATTAGAGCCCGAAGCCATTTGGTGGCCTCATTTATAATTGCTTACTATGGGAACCACTGGCAGACTTGGCTTTCATGCCTGGGAAGGATGAGACCAAAGGCTGACCCGAAAGCCAACGATCGCCAAGATGAGTTAAATGAATAAGCAAAGGGAGCCACTTCTTTCTCTGCCCCCCACTTAGGCCTTGCCAGCCCTTTCAATAGCACCGCTGTGGCTGTTGTCCGAACCCATTTCATTTGCCTTCTTTGGGTTCTTTCTCCCCCCGCTTTCAGACAAAGATTTGCAGCTCCCTTCAGGATTCAATTGCAACTTTGATTTCCCCGAGGAGCCCTGCGGGTGGATGTACGACCATGCCAAGTGGCTCAGGAGTACCTGGGCCAGCAGCTCCAGCCCACACGACCGGACGTTTCCAGGTAAGCCAGCTCCGGAGTCAGAGACGGAGGAGGTCAGGGGAGCCTGCTCCACGTCTCCCAGCCCCAGATTCCCTCACGAGCTTCGCAACTCCTCACCGCAGAGCAGTCCTCTGCTCCGCGCCCACAAACCACCGCAGTCTTTGCTTACACCGTCACCCTACACCATAGTTGGCTGTTGGTTCCTAGACCCGTCTTGGGATTGTGGTGCAGCCTAGGAGTGGGGAGGGAGCAAGAGAGGCCAAGAGAAAAGAAAGGAAAGGAAGAAAGAAAGAGCGACTGGGTGGTTTTAGGAGAAGGGATGAGTCAGTGTCCCCTTGTCTCCATAGCCAGCGCTCACGGCTGACATCACAGAGCCTCTTGTCAACACCAAGCCGGCTATTGTTCCTAAAATGACTCCTTAGGAGACCACTGGCCTCCAGCCTGACGGCTACTTCTCCAAGGGTATCAGCACTTTCATAGTAAACCAAGTCGAGGGTCCGAAATGCCACCACACCCATGGGGTCTAGCAGAGCCGCCTGGCACGCGGCCTCCAGGAGAGTGTTGATGCCAGTCCTTGAACTATTGTTCAGCCGCTCTTTCAGAGCCAGGTTTTGGCAGCCCCTCCTGGCACTGTTGTTCAAGGGGGGTTGCCTGTAGCCCTCCTAAAAGCCCCCGGAATCGAGGGTCGTCTCTACTCTCTCCACTGCAGCGTGCTTTTACAGTGGTGTTCTGGTCGGGGTTTAACCACCAACTCTGAGGAAAAAGAATAACCCTGCTTTGTAATGTTTGCAGCTTTTGGGGGTGTGTAGTTGCCTCCCATGGCTGAGCTACCAACAGGACGTGATCAGAAGTGGGGCCGGGCAGCATAGTAGCTCCCGGATGTTGTTTTTCACTGTCCAACGGCTAGAGTAGATACGAATGACTTCAGGAGCATTGATACTGATCAAACGTATTAAAATAATTAGGAAGTGTTGAGTCTTGAAAATGTATCGCCTTTCATTTTCAATATAATTTATTTAATGGTAACTTTATCTAATTTAATTTTTAATAATGACTGCATTTACCAACTACCTTGCAAAATTCCAGAAAATTTAGCTGTCGGCTCTCACAAGTCACTAGTTATGTTTCCGTTTCTCGGCACCCCTGGCCTGGACCCATAAGCATTTGGGAGGAAAGGGTGTTGATTCTGGAAATTAGTAGATCAAACGTTGCCTGACTAGAGAATAAAAGGAAGAAGGGGCCTCCCTTTCTACAGGGTTCCCCAGAGCTGCTCTGCAGCCCCCCAACCCCAAGGACTGGCCACATCCCCTGTCCCCCAGAGGACAGCAGTGGGACGGATGCCAGGAGAGCTCTGCGGGCTGGCCTCCTGACACAGCCTGCACTTGCTTTCCTGGAGGGGTCACAGCGTCTGCTCTGGAGAAAAACATTTTCATATTTCAAGTGTTTATCTCTTCAGCATTTGAGTGCTCGGCGAGATTAATATCTGAAGATCACTGCGGCCTCGGGCAACGGGAGAGAGCACTTACCCTCATCCCAGCCTTAATCACCCTCCCCCCTCTCGTTCACTGCAATAATGTTTAATTAATATAATGAGCCTCCTGCACGTTGGAAAAAAAATACTTATTTTTATAACCCAGGCTGGATTTTTCATTTCATTTCCTCTCCTTTGAGACTTGGCCCAATTAATTGCTTGTTTTTCCCAACCTCCACTCTTCATCCCAATGTAAAGAAGGTTTGTGGGGTATGCATAAGTGTATGTATGCATAGTGTGTACTTGTGGGCTATGTGTGTATGTATGTGTTGCCTGTGTGTTTCTCTTTCAAGGTGTTTGTGGGTTTTGTGTGTATGTGCAAATGCTATGCATTTTATGTGTAGATGTTTAGGTGTTTGTGAACATGTGTATGCATGCATTTCATGCATGTTTTGCATGTGAATGTATGTGTTTGCATTTGAGTGTGTTTGTGGTTTGTATGCATGAGTGCTTTGTGTGTGTGCGTGTGTGTGTGCACGCGCGCGCGTGTATACGCATCGTGTGAGGTGTGTATAAGGGGGCAGCTTGGCAGAGGCACTTTGGAAGAATGGACATAGACGACACAGCGTGGGGGAGATTTACTGGCTCTTACTCAACATCTGTCTTCAGGTTCTACCTAAAAATTTGACTGCCTCCCTTGCCATCTTCTGAGCAGATTTTCTCTAAGAATGTCTAAGGCCAGCCCTGTCCAGGCCACAGGCCACCAATTAGCAAGTGACACTTCTGGGAGACCTTCAGTTACTCTCTATTTGAGCCTGGCCTTTACCTCTGTCCCTCTGTCCCTCTGCCCGTTCACCTCAGCCTCCCCCTGCTGCAGGCCTCGCCCTCACCTGAGTGCCCCCTCCACCACCCTGGCTACTGGTTGGAAATTCTAGTTCTTGTCCTCATTCCAGTTGACTCATTCCACCCTGCGGTTTGGGAGGGTTTTTCAGAGCAAGCTCACAAAGCGGGCAGAATTCCAGCGTTTGGCTGGATAGATGGGGACAGAAAGAAAATTAGGGCCATACGGAACTGCTAGATCTAATGTTGTTTCTCCCTTAAGATATTGAGAAGGAAAATAATTATTTTCCTCTTCCAGAGGAATCCCTGAAGTTTGAAAAAGTGACACTCGTAACCTGTCTCCAGAAAACATAACCCTAATATTGTTTTCAGAACCCTTCCTTCTATTCTCTGATGATTTTAATAGTCATTTGCTGTCCTTCCCATTTTCCTTCTCCTTACAAAACTCAATATGGGGCTTTAAGCAGGGAAGGATAGAAAGCCCTTTCTGTTCAGGGTGGTCCTTTCTTCAAAAAAAAAAAAAAAATGGGGCCCCGAGGGGAGCAGTTGGGAGAGAGGAAACAGCTGTGCCTGATCAGGGACAGGGCAAATGCTGGACCTTCCCAGTCAAACCCAAAAGCCCTGTATCCCCCACACTTTGCCCCTCCACAAAGAGGAGGCTCTCTTTAAGAGAAGTGTGCCCTCTGTTTTATCCCCTCATTGGATAGATAAACTGAAGTAATTGCATGCAAGAAAGGAGGTGGCTCCATCAAGTGTAGAGGGTGTCGGGGTAGACGAGGAGGGAAGAAAGGAAAAAGAAATAGCCATGTTGAAATATCATACACAGCCTGTTTGATTAGAAGTGTCTGTGGAAACTACTTACATTCCTTAGATAGTTTCTGAATTAGTTCTTTACTCGTGTTTTGTTTTGTCTTTTTTTTTCCTTTTCCTTTTAAGTCAGCAATTATTTCTGTCCTTTTGGCCCGTGGGGATAGTTGCTCAAGGCTGACAAGACACCCCCTGGTTTCATGCCACTGTTTTTGTTTTTCAAGATGATCTTTCAAGCCACTCAGAATTCCTTCTTTTAGTTCTTTGCTTGTGGTTTGGAAGCTGGAACTGTGCTTGCACCAGCCCCTGGGGACCCTGTCCTGAAATTCAGTGACCCCTGGTGGTTGTAGAGGAATCGGTCCGTGTCCTCTGAGAAGCCACATTGTCTTTCTGTGTGGCTACGACACAGGAAATGTCTTCCCTATGGGAGCTGTAGTATTTTCTCCAGACGTTCTCAAGTGCGATGGTCATGACCCCTGTTGAGGATGACCAGGTCTTTACGGAACAAGGCAAAACCTCTGAGATGATAATGGTGAGCTCACATGTCTAGAGCTGTACTCTTTAATATGGTAGCTATTTCCATTTTAGTTCATTACAATCACATATAGCTAAAATTCCAGTTCCCCATTCCAGGGGCCTGGTGTCCATGATAGACACTGAATGGCACAGATGTACAACACGGCCGTCATCACAGAATTGTCTTGGTCAGACAGCTCAGATATCTACCGGCATTGACATACATGTGACCTCTGGGGTCCTTGCTGATGCTGCCTCCCCCATGAGGGGAACCGATCCCATTGTAAACCAAGAAGCAAGTAATTAGGTTGATGTGCCTTCTCTGTGGTCCCTTAGTGAGAATGTCCAGTGACAGCTATTTTTGTCACTTCACCATTCAAATTCAGTGAACAACTATAGTAGAGTAAGCAGGGAGCATAGCATTAGACAGTGTGGGAACTAGTTCATTCAACCAAAAAAAGTAAATGCTAAAGAATACCAATAATATTAATAGTAGTTGTTACTGTTACTATTATCACCATTATTGTCAGGAATGAGAGGAGAAGACTAGAGAAAGAGAGTACCATGTCAGCTTCAGAATCCTCAAGTGTGTGGTCTGCCTAAATGTGTGTTCTGCTATACATTTGTTGACCTCATGAAGTAGGCTTATAGTATTGGTCTGTTTCAATAACTTGAAGTCATGGAAGTGATATAATGAAAATAGGTAGGGGAGCCTGACTGGCTCAGTTGGTAGAGCATGAGACTCTTGGTCTCAGGGTTGTAGGTTCAGGCCCCATGTTGGGTGTGGAGCCTATGTAAAATAGAGGGATGGAGGGAAGGAAGGAAGGAAGGAAGGAAGGAAGGAAGGAAGGAAGGAAGGAAGGAAGGAAGGAAGGAAGGAAGGAAGGAAGGAAGGAAGGAAGGAAGGAAGGAAGGAAGGAAGGAAGGAAGGAAAGAGAGAGAAAAGGAAGAAAGAAAGAAAAGGAAGGAGGGAAGGAAGGAAACAAACAGGGAATGCCTATTTGTAACAGTACACCATTATGGAAAGACAGAGCTTTGGCTGCCTAGCATTTATATGTTTATTGGATTGAGAAGACCGAACCTTTACTCTGGATTCAAAAACAAGCTGAAGACAGAATAAGAATACAATGTTCTGAAATATTCGAATTTTATTAATGGTAGCTATTCCATCAAATGTCAGGGGTAGAGTTGTTAATGTCTCGTGGGGTTGTTTTGATGCAGATTGGCCATTTATAAACTCTATGAGAGCAGAGGACCAGAACTGTGGTTCACTGGGGAACATGTACATGAGAAGATTAAGTGTGGAGGAGTAGATGGTTGCGAAGAAATTACGGAAGAGAATTGATGAGTGAACTTGCTCATGATGGGCTTGATATTTGACAGTGAA